AGCCACCGGGTCTGGGACTCGAACCACACTCGGCCACATAGGAGTCCAGCCGTTACGCCATCTGCTGGTCCTGCAAAATGAATTTTAAAAAGTTTATTCATTTATTACTTGGATGAATAAGCAAAGAGAGTCTGAGTGAGATACCACCCCTGACGGTGCTGTGATCCAACCATAACTTCAGCCAGCCCTGGATCATGGTCACAGATGTACCTGATGAACTCAGGGAGGGCTCTAGATGCAAATCCAGAACCTTCCATGTAGGTCAGCTCACAGACCATTGTGTTTCACCACCATACCACTGGTCATCTCGTCATTCTACAAGTCTAGAAATCATGGTTATAACATGTGACTCTCATAGGGTAAACAAGAACTTGTGAGAGGATGTCTGTCTTGGGCTCTATCAAAGAAGTCAAAAGGGGGACCAGCAGTTAGTGTAATGGCTATGTCGCTGGACTCCCACGTAGTCGACCGCGGTTCATGTCCCGGACCCAGTGGCTTAAAACTCACGCCGGGTGTGTGTGCGTGCATGCCCAAGATCCCAAGAGGAGAATGGAGGAGAAGGGATTGCAGCGTGGCCATCCCCCCGGGGGGGGATTTCTCGCTTTCTGTCTCTCTGTTTGGCGAGCGCACCTGCCCTATGGCAAAAACCTCTCAAAAAAAAAATTAAATAAATAAATAAAAAAAGAAGTCAAAGGGAACAAAGATAACTGGTCTCTTTAGTCTCTCATAGCAGTGCCTGCAAGTATTGAACTAAGAGCTATTGCTAAAACAGAAGCCCTCACTAGCTTCTTGTCCTAGGAAGACCCATCCCTTCCATGTGGGTCATGTTCTGTGATGTCTCCAAGGTGCTCTGCTCTGGAAACTCTGAGGAACTTCCCGTTGTTGTAAGCCATGGCCCTGCAGACAGGATTGTATCTTCTCTATCCTCCAATAGATACAGACCTTAGAATTAAATCCTGTCCTAAAGAATTTTCTAATTCTGGGACTACAAAAAGTTGCTACATGAATAACATTGTAAGCTCATTTCACTCGTAGGAAAGTATTTCTTCTCTTTTAGGATTTTCATGACCCTCCCCATCTTAACCCCAAAACAGTTATTGCTGCCTTCAAAGTTATGCAAAATAAATGAATGTATGGCAGAGGACTAAAAAAGTTTATCATAAAAATGTACATATAGCTCATGGGGGAATGTGCATGTTTCAAATCAAATTCTGCTTCTAGCTCTTAACTGTAGCTGTACATAGAATATCCCATTTCTCTCTTAAAGTGACGTACTATTAACTGAGTTTCAAGTAAGTATCTTCATGGAGGACACTATTAATCTGAAAAAATTAAAAAAAAATTTGCTGTAGGATGTGGCGTAATGGTTACATCACTGGACTCCCATGTAGTCGACTGCGGTTCGAGTTTGGGACCCAGCAGCTTAAAATGTATGCAGGGTACATGTAGTGCAAGCCCAAAATCCCAGGAGGAGAATGGAGGAGAAGAGATTGCATCCCCATGGGGGCGATTTCTTGCTTTCTGTCTGTCTTTCTGGTGAGCACAAGAGCCTTATAGCAAAAATCTCTCTAAATTTTTTTTTTTTTTTTGCTATAGGGCATGTGTCCTTGCTGGAGGTGGGTAGGGAGAGGGAGAGTGAGAAAGCACCCCCCCTTAGGGAGGTTGGTCATGACACAATTCCTTCTTCTCCATTCTTCTCTTGGGATTTTGAGCTTGCATGCACACATACCTGGCGTGTGTTTCAAGGTGCCAGATCCAGGACTTGAACCATGCTGTCAGTCATATGGAATTCAGCTGCCCTAACCACCATGCCACCAGCTGACCAAATACATTTCCTTTTTATCCAACAACACTGGGTAGTTTTCCTTTCTGTACTGATTTATTTGCAAAATTGCTTTTCCTAAGTGCTTGGGTTTTACCTAACATAACTTATTTAGAGTAAAAATTTTGCCCTCTGTGATTATTCTTTCTTGTTAAAAATATATAATTTTTCTTTCATTTTTTTTGTTTGTTTTTAAGAGGTATTTTTCCATAGGGTGTGTGTGCTCACTGGGGAGAGAGAGAGAGACAGAGACAGTGAGAGAGAGAGAGAGAGAGAGAAATCAACCCCTGGGGGGATGGCCATGCCTCAATCCCTTCTCCTCTATTCTCCTGGGATCTTGGACACTTGTGCACACTACCTAGTGTGATTTTCAAGTCACTGGGTACAGGACTTGAACCATGGTCAGCCATGAGGGAGTCCAGCAATGTAACCACTATGCTAACTCCTGGCCTCAATTTTTCATATTTTTATTTTCCCTGTCCATTCTTGCCCATCTGGCTAGCCCACAAAGATGTACTTCTGATTTGAAATGAGTGTTTGGAATTGAACAACTTTCATTTTTGAAGATTCTTCTTCCAATAGACATGCCTAATTTGAGTTGGAAAACTATTTAATAAATTTGATTATCAATTGAAATTTATGGATTTTCCAAATATTGGGTCATGATGTATTTTTCTGTGTTTCTATGCAAAAAGGCATCGTGACTTTTCTGATGACCCAGTATATACTGTAAGGTCATCTATCTAGGCTCAAAGAAAGGAAAGAAAAAAAAAATCATGTAAGTGGAAGGATATCCAAAACTAATTTAAATATATTCTTGATGATGTTCAAATTTTAAAATGAAGAAGTAAAGAAACACTTGATATAACAGTACTGAGTAGGGCCCTGTGAGAACCCATGTTCTGGTGACTTTTCTGTCTTCTTGGGAATATGAATCCTATTAATCCTTTATTTTGTAAATTTTGCTTTCCCCAAATCCTCAACACAAAGTTATGCTCAGTTATAAATGGTTAGTTTTTAGTATATAGGTAAATTTTAGAGGATTCTAAAGTAGATATCTTATCACTAATCTCCAGAAAATGTAGATTCCTAGGATATCTTTCAAAATTCGGGCATTACTGTATTGCTTTATCCACGTGGGCCCACCTTCCTATGTGCACGCATGCACAATAATGCAAATGAAAGTGAGATGTAAAATGGAAAATAGGATCTGTGGGCAAGGCTGGAGAGATAGGTGGCCTGTTAAAATGCAGGAAGAGGGCTGGCCTCATAACCTAGTGGAAAGAGCTGGATCCTACATGATCAGCCATGGTTCTTGTCCTAGGCTCAGCAGCTTAAATAGCATGCCAGGCACATGTGTATGCATGTCCCAAATGCTTACACACTGAAGTCATGGAGGAGAAGGGACTGTGGCATGATTATGCCCCATTGAGTGGGGTGCTTTCTCTGTCATCCTCTCTCTCTGACTCTCTCTGGTAAGCACACACACTCTTAAGCAAAAAGAAAAAAAAAAAGAAAATATTAGAGAAGAAAGCAGAAAAAGAAAGAAAGAAAAGAAAAGAAAATGAAAAAAAAAGGAAAATAATCCACAGAAGGTGATGAACAAATTATTTTCTGTCTCTTGGGGCTAATCAAAGATGAATTAGTATAAATAAGCTTTAAGTTCAGGAGATTCCCTTTGGTTTCAAGTATTATACAAACCCTTCCCAAAGGGAATGAGGAGGTCCTTGTTTCTGGAATCTCAGCTAGGAGACTGAGATTAGTCTCCCTCATCCCACACCCCTACCTTGCTAACCCTTAGACCCAGGGTTCTGTCTCTGAATTACCTCCGAGTTGAGTTGAGAATCGCTTCACAGTTAACAGGAGAGCCTTGTTTTTCCATTTCTGCCTTCTCTTCTTGCTCCAGTTTGTCCACTTCAATCTGTGTAGGCACCAAACTTGCTAAAATAGAACAGGATTATTATGAAAACATTGTTCAGTTTGGGACCCTACATTTAAACACTTAATAAGTAGGTGTGTTTTCTGCTCTTGACCCAGCCGTAGATTTTTTTTGTAGTTGCTTTTGAGGCCTGTCACAGAATTGTATGAAATTGAGAAAAATTACTTCCTCTCTCATGGCAGTTTTCCAGCTGCAAAATTAATTATCCACTTACCTCCATCATGAGGTATTTTAAGGGTCAATGAACTTGAGTTTGTGAAACCCTTCACCTGATGATCTGAAAGTGGTTATCACAGATTTTTTTTTTTTTTTTTTTTCTTTTCTTTGTTTCTTTATTTTTAAGTTGCCTTACTCTCCAGGGTTATTTACAAAACTGAACCTTTTAGAATGTGTTTGTATTTCAGGCTTGTCTTTCCTTTTTAACATGATTTAAATGGTGAAATGTTGGTTTATAGAAGAAATGAAGGGACCAGTAATAGACAGCTACTTGGAGAGTCATTTGCCTTTCATTCATTCAGCACTTCGTGTGTGCCAAGCATTGGTAGGGTGCTGGGATATAAAGATGAGTCGGCCCTGCCTCTCAAAGCTCTCACTTTGAGTCAGAGTAGGAACCGAACTAACAGCGATTATACAGTACGAGGCATGCGCGTGCACGAGGGAACACCAGAGAGGGAATCATTTTTTCTGCAGGACAGCCACGATAGGAAAGACAAGAAGGACTCTCTTGAGAAAGAACACTGTGCAGAAAAACGCCAGTGTCTCAAAATACACACAAGAAAACTTGATTTGGATTCATTTTTTAATTATAAACAAATGCCTGTTTAAACTCACATGTGGAACTTCTAGATGTCATAAAGGATTGAATATTTTTTTCTGTACAAACAGCTATAATTCCTCCCTCTCTTCATCCTTCTGTCCCCTTTGAAATTCCATTCTGATGTTATCACTGGGTCATGTTGTAATCTCTCTCGCCCTCCTTTCCTTCTTTCTTTTCCTTTCCCCTCTATTCCCCTCTCTCCTCCCTTGTTCTCTTTTTTTCTGCAACTGCAGTCAGATGCTATCATGGAACATGATGTAATATCTCTGCCACTTTGATTTGAGGTCAGTCTTCCTGGGATGACTCTTGAACAGATTTCCAAAGAAATAAAAATAGGCCTTTTAAGGTATTCTTTTGGCTGTTGGCTATGATCTGGTCCTCCTTGCATTTTAATGTCTTCCCTATCTGCCTGTTTGTTTCAGGTAATGGGACTGCTGACCAACCACGGCGGGGTCCCTCATCAGCCCCAGACTGACTATGCGCTCTCCCCTCTCACTGGGGGCCTGGAACCCACCACCACGGTGTCGGCCAGCTGCAGTCAGAGGCTAGACCACATGAAGAGCTTGGACAGTCTGCCAACATCTCAGTCCTATTGTCCTCCCACCTATAGCACCACAGGCTACAGTATGGACCCTGTCACAGGCTACCAATATGGGCAATATGGACAAAGTAAGCCTTGGACTTTCTAGGGGGTAAATACTCCTGGAAGGAGTATTGCTTAAGAAAAGGGATTTAGAGGCACGATTAAGCCTCTTAGTCCAGTATCAGTTTTGTGGCAAAGCCAGCTGATTGTCTCAGCGAGGGCTCCCTTATTTAACTATTTTCTTAGCTGATGTCAACAACATCTTGTGGTTATTAATTGCGGAGATGGGAAACTTGATTGCCACTAGGTAAAACACAAGGGTTGGCCAAAGTGAAATAACCCCTGGCATTAGAAACACATGTTCTTAATGAGGTCAGCTCAAGGATCATATGGGGTATAATCCTGGGGATGCAGAGTTGTGTCAAACTTGTCTCAGGAATAAAAATATTAGTTTGGATCCTTTGATACCGTGGTATTAAATATGACATCGTCAGCCTGTAGCTGATATTGCCCCTTACTGCGGGTTGTCCCAGATGACCTAAAAAGCTGCATGTGTTTCCTTACAGGTGCCTTTCATTATCTCAAGCCAGATATTGCATAAGCGAACTGTCCATTTGGAGCTAAAACTGGCCCTCTCCCGGTCTCCACAGCCTAGACATGAAGAATCTTCTCAGAGAAAAAAAAAAAAAAAAAAAAAAAAAAGTCATCCTTTTGGTGTGGGGGGGGCATCTGACAGGAAACAAAGGAAAGTGATTGATTTTCTTTCTCCAGTAGTTGATTTCAAATTCTTTTGAACATGTTGGATAAAAGCAAAGGAGAAGAAGACACAGAGCAATAAAAGAAAAACACAACATTTTAAGGCAATGGTTTAACATGGCTACATATGGAAATATCCCAACTCTTTAGTGCTGATGATTAAGGAGCTAAAACATTCCATTTGTGTGTGTGTGTGTGTGTGTGTGTGTGTGTGTGTACCTGAGATTTACCTGGACTGGTTTGGGCAAGCAGAATGTTCTAAAATATAATAGTGGAGTACTCTCAAGTATAACATGTCTGACGTCCAAGCTGATAATTCTACAACTTTGAAACTGCTCACCTAATGGAGCAGTAATGGAGGAATCCTTGACCTTTACACACTGGAAATCCATATGCAAATAAATGACGCCATTTTTAGGAAGTTAGATGAGATGTAAAGGACCTCCCAAATGAATTATTTATCGTATCCTCATTTATAATCAATAAATGTCCTGGACACATCTCGCTATTAGGATATGGGATAACAGGAAGAAATGCTTGTTTTCTTTCTCAGCATGGGGAGAGGGATGTGATGTTTTCCCAATTCACCCTCACTTGGAGGTGGAGCTAGGTCAGGGGAAGGGCACGGTGGAGAAGTTACATGTACTCACATATCTGCTTATCAGTGTGCAATACTGCGTACCTCACGGGTGCTTTGGCAATGGCCAAGGCGATATAAACAAAACCAGAACTATATTTTTGCAGGTGCTTTTATTTTCGCAGCCCGTAATTCACTGTGGTAGGATGCAGTGATGTTTGCCATTTGCTGGACAACCACCACACAGCTTGCTCCTTTTGGTTAGAGACCATGTCAGAGAAGACCTCTTTTACAATGGTTACGTTTACATGCTTCTCTTTTCTATGAAAGGCAGGGCAAGAACTGTCCATGTGGCTCTCATGTACTTTTAAATTATACAGCGATATCCAATATTAAAAGATGATAGACACTGAGGTTTACATACATCTGTGTGGTGACATTGTAGAATGTCAATAAAAATTTGTTTTTTGAAACGTTAAGAAGACAAGAAGGTGGAAGGCAGTGTTATTTATTTCTTTTTATCCTTGGAACCATGAATGAGGTAGGCACAAATGCATTCCTTTTAGAGTTAAGAACTATGACGTAGCGATAGTGAGCCTAGACGTAGTACCGAGGTTAGTTCACACATTGGTCTTCGAGGGAGATGGGAGAAGAAAAGAGCCATCTTCGTGTTGCAGCCTCAGCCAACAACAATGTGTTGTAAAAATGTCTTTCATGTAAAAAGTGCAGTAAATATTTACTATTTATAATGAATAAACAGTTATGAAAACTTGCTCAATGTTGCCTTTCTGGGAAACTGGTGAATGTAGTAAAAAGAAAACCTGGGCAGCCCAGTGACAATAGCACAGGGGGTAGGGTGTCACTGTGCAGTGCTAGAGCCATTGGGAAGGCCTGGATTGACCTGAGCATGCCAGGCTCCCTCCTGATCCTGGGTTGCTAGAAGGTTGGGGGCTTGATTATGGCATGACAAGAGCCTGTTTGGGAAAGGGGTGTTCTCTAAATAAATATATACATAAATAAAGAAACTAAAAAAAAATGATCAACTTGACAATACAGAGTCAAATAAAACATATTCTTCACTTCCAATAGTATCTTTTTTTTTTGGAGAGATTTTTGCTATAGGGCATGTCGCTCGCCAGAAAGACAGAGAGAGACAAAGAGATAGTAAGCGAGAAATCACCCCCTGGGGGATGGCCACGCTACAATCCCTTCTCCTCCATTCTCCTCTCAGGATCTTGGGCACGTAGGCACACGCCCTGCGTGAGTTTAAGCCACTGAGTCTGGGACTTGATGGATGGTTGACTACATGGGAGTCCACGACAGAGCCATTACACCAACTGTTGGTCCCCAATAGAATCTTTTTTTTAAAAAAAGAATTATTTAGTTTATTTTTATTTATTATTATTTTAGTTTGCTATAGGACACATGTGCTCACCAGATAGAGAGAGACAGAGAGACAGAAGCAAGAAATCACTGTCCTGGGGGAATGGTGATGCTGCAATCCCTTCTCCTCCATTCTCCTCTCAGGATCTTGGGCACGTAGGCACACGCCCTGCGTGAGTTTAAGCCACTGAGTCTGGGACTTGATGGATGGTTGACTACATGGGAGTCCACGACAGAGCCATTACACCAACTGTTGGTCCCCAATAGAATCTTTTTTTTAAAAAAAGAATTATTTAGTTTATTTTTATTTATTATTATTTTAGTTTGCTATAGGACACATGTGCTCACCAGATAGAGAGAGACAGAGAGACAGAAGCAAGAAATCACTGTCCTGGGGGAATGGCTACACTGCAATTCCTTCTCCATTCTCCTCTTGGGATTTGGGGCAGACATGCACACACACCTGGTGTGAGTTTCAAGTCTTCAGGTCTGGGACTCGAACTGTGGTCAACCCCATGGGAGTCCAGCAATGTAACCATAATGTCATCCGCTAGTCCTGAATCTGGCTCTCTTAACACTGAACCACAGGCCCAGCCCAAAGGAAGGTAATCTTTACTTAGTGCTTTAAATTCATTACCTTGTTTTATCCTCACAAAATCCTGTGAGGTGGGCATTGCGAGTCATAATTTATGAATGGATGAGCTGAGGGCCAGAGCTGTTTAGCAGCTGGGCCAAGGTCACACACAGCCAGAAATGGCAGAAAGAGGCTTTTTCTTCTCAGCCTGGTGGCAGAACCTGTTTTATTTTATTTCTCCAAAAGCTGCTTGTAATACTTCATTATATCAATCTGGCTTCTTGCCAAACTCAAGTGGAGAATAGGCATTTAAAAAAAACCATTTACTTCCAGTGTGAGAGAGAAAATCTACCAGGATTCAGAGTAAACAACGGAAATGGATCTTACAATCTTACACCATCACTTTCTGTGTGTGGGTGGCTCACAACTTGCCACACGTGTCTCGTGTCTCTTTTTAATTACTTTATGTCTTTCTCTTATTTCTGCACATCTCTGAAATCTATTGCTCGGCTTGTATTTCTCACATTGGAAGTCTGTGGATTTCCCCCTATCTTTTGTTTTCTTTTTAAATATACAATTTAATTCATCTCCAAGGAAATGGGGACCTGGTTTCCTCTGACTGGGGTTCGTGGTCTCATTGCCTGGTATAAATAGCCGTAAGAACTCTTGAGCCAACAGGTGGCATGGTTCAAGTCCTGGACCTGGCAGCTTGAGAACCACACTGCGCATGTGTGTGTGTGTGTACATGCCCCAAATCCCAAGAGGAGAGGTGGATATACGATTGCAGTGTGACCATCCCCCTGGGGGATGATTTCTCACTTTCTCTCTTTGTGTCCCTGGCAAACACATGTGCCCTATAGCAAAAACATAAGCAAACAAACAATTACAACAAAAGAATTTTGAACATTTGGATTCAACCAAACGGAATTAGGTGTGGGGGCTCGCTCTTGTCCACATAGTTATTTGATTTAATTTTAAAAATCAAATGTAAAAACTGAGAATCAGAACTCAAAGTTCTTCAACTGTAGCTGTACTCTTGTCAGCTGCTGAGCCATTCTTTGGCAGTAATTTTTCTAAAAATAGGTAACATATTTCACATCTGCGATGAAAGCCAAAATATTGTTTTATTGCTTTAATTAGTCCAATCTGGAAGTGTATTTTTACGTATACTTAGGGAACATCCATGGTTCGAAGGGGTCTTCATTAATGCTGGCACATATAAAACCAGATAAGGACAAGACTACTGGCTCATGGCTGTGAGCTGAGAGTCTGAAATGGAGAATGGGATGGATTAACTAATGTCCTTTGTGTGAACACGGCATGGAAGAATCTAATCTCAAACTATGGAACTAAAAGTTAAATTTAGCACACGAGGAGCTGGTTGGTAGTTTAGCAGTAATGTAATGCTTTGTAATGCTGATCCACAGGGGAAAGTTTTAGATTCATATCCAGAGACCTCTCTGAGTGATGCAGGGCTGACTGAAGCTGGGGTGAATGTGGAGTCAAGACCTTGCTGTTTTTTTTTTTTTTTTTTTTCTCCTCTTTCTGTTTCTCTTGCTCATGGAGGAAAGAAAAAAAAAAATTAGCAGGTAGGACCAGAACACAGGTATATATGATAACTAAATCTATTTTGTAGATAAAGACTTGGGCCTCAACCATTCTGAGTGAGTAATTTTTGGTGTTTAATCATTTCTGGATAAGGAGAGCTGGTGTCAAACACAGAGATCGACGAATGATGAGTGGATGTATTTATGTAAAAAGACCAACATGACCAGCCTCAGCCTTGGCCAGGTGCTCTGGATCTGGAAGTCACTGTCAGATGATGCATGAGGGAAAAGGAAGAAACAGGGCTGAGTACAGGACTCTTCAAATGCCAGTGACATAAGCTTGTTCTGCCCTTTTCACTGGTCCCTCCCTTGGTATTGCTGACCACCACACCCCAAGTGCCTAGCACCAGGTCTGACCCATAATGTATATTCAGAACCGACCCATCTACTGAATGAATAAATGAATACAAAAATGAAGAGAGAGCCTATTAAACTGTTCCCCCGTGATCTTCTGAACAAGGGGACGTTTGGCTCATGGAGGACCAAATGCACACAGATTGTCTTGAGCTTGGGTTGCTTAGTGCCATAGGAGAGGAATAGAGGCAGGAAGCCCAATAAGTCACTTTATAGCTGTATTTCTGGTGTTTCTGACTGATGCAGAGGGCGTGAAGTAGTAATGTGTTGGATTCACCGCTGGGAGGATTAAAACAAAAAAGAGAAATAGCCAGTTGGTTGATTCCTTAGAAAAGTGGCTCTCAGCCCAGGCTCTATAGAAATCTGGAGAATTAAAAGGAAAGAGACCCATACCC